GAGTCATTTTTTCATCACTATAATTGATGGAAGGCCCGATTATAATTTGCGTTTTATTTTATAATTCCGTACAGTTAAAAAATAAAACACTAATTATAATGGCATATATGTAAAACTTTGTCCTATAATTGTATAGCTGCTTTTTCTGATTTTTATGTTGCTCTGTTCTGAATACCTTAAAATTGAAAGGATTTACTGCAATGCAATTTTATGATATGTTAATTATTTATATTTTTTATCAATGCTGCAAATGCTTTAAAATTACTTTATTGCATTCCAGACGCTTTTAAAGTACTTTTCACTATAAATTTTACAGGTAGCTTGAATGTAAACATTGTCATGAATTTGTTGTATTCCCATTTGTAAAATAGCCAACAAATTACTTGTTGTAGGCTAACCCGATCTCATGAAAGTGCATATAGCACGATTTTCTGCTTCTTTTTGGCATAATATTTCTATGCAGAAATTGACTTTGGCATGCAAAAGACTGATAAATTCATAGTTAACGGCATGGGTTCAGTCGACAGAAATACGGGACACACAGGCCAATAATAACTGCTGAAATGTTTGCGGGGCAAATCTCAGATCAGTCTGAGCGCTTATGGTACTCACAGTGCGTACAGCTGCAGGCGCCACAGACTCGGACGGTTGTTGTGGTAATAAACACAGTAAACGGCAAACGTTCGCGTGTCCGCGCTTAATGCGCATATCCTATATGAAAAGCATTTTAGGGGGCCCTTGGCTTTTGGGGGCCCAAGGCGGTCGCCTACCTTTGCCTAATGGGTAAGTCCGCCCCTGGGTATAGAAAAGCTTGTCCTTTTTTTAAAATAACCAATAGTTTTTAGTTTAGTCACAGTCCCTCAAAACTTTATTTTTGACACTTTTTTTTTATAGACACTTGATGGTTAAGCAAATTTTTTGGAAAATAATATATACCCCTTTGAACAATATACACCACCATTCACTAGTCATTTTTGGAATTAAATTATAATTTATTGCCAAACATGGACACGTTTTTGACATTGATAAGTTTTGTGCATTAAATCAGCATATTGGAATGATTTCTGAAGGATCATGTGACACTAAAAACTAGAGTCATTTTTTAATTGTGATAATATTTCACAATATCACAGTTTTTACTGTCATTTGTTTCAATAAATGCAGCCTCGTGAGCATAAAAGAAAACAATTTAAATCAAAAACATAAAAAAATTGAGTGGTATTGTATTTGATAGAAAGTAACCATTTGATATTAGTTTTGAAATTTTTGGTACATCTTAACAAGAATTTTTAAATACTCCTCTACAGGACTGGAAAAATCATTAAACATTGCAAATTTGTAAAAAAAATTCTCTTTAAAATATTTTTGTGCTTGTGTAGAGGAAACCTTGCTCGGAGAACAGCGTTTACATCATCAATCTGTCCATTAATAGCTGTTTAGGACATTTTTTCACTGTTAAGTATAATCATAGTTTCATAGTGTTGTACATGGCATATCTGTATAAAAAAAAATTTTTTTTTTTTTTTTTTAAACACTTTTAATCAACTGGAATAGCCATAGAAATGCGTAGGAGAACAACACATGGAGCGTTCAAAGGGCTGATGAAACGAATTTGCACACAGGTCAATGACTTGCGTAAGGAGTTGGAGAGCCGTTCACTGAGCTCTAAAGGGCTGAAGTCTCAGCTGATCGCTCGCCTCACCAAACAGCTGAAGGTGGAGGAGCAAGTGGAGGAGTCCAAGGAGCCGGAGAAGCCTGAACCTCCTAATGTGGAGGAGGATGAGTCCTGCAGACTGGAGGATGACCGAGAGGTGAGAGAAGATCAGAGAATCCTGCTCTTATAGAGAGCCTGTCTGATCAATCGCATATAAACGTGGAAAAAATATTCCCTTCAGGAAGAGGAACGAAAGCGGCAGGAGGAGCAGGAACGCCAGCGCAGGGAGAAACGTTATGTTCTGCCAGATGAGCCTACCATTATTGTCCATCCCAACTGGGCTGCCAAGAATGGCAAATTTGCCTGCAGCATCATGTCCTTGAGTGTGTTGCTGGACTACAGACTGGAGGATAATAAAGAGCACTCCTTTGAGGTGAGGATCACTGCAGAGAGGTCAAATAACATGTTTCTGCATATTAAAGATTTTTTAATTTAATAATTCACCTATAAACTACTACGTTTTGGGACACTTTGCTTGACTTCACCTGATATAATTACAATATTCTGGTGTCAGATACTCTTTTGTAAATGGTTGCCTATTGCAGTGAAAGGAGGGATTTGACGTTCCAGGAATATTCACAAAATATTTTTGTTACTTTAAATAAAATATTAAAGAAAAACAGTTGCTATATCAGTATTTCTCATTTTCATAATAACGAAAAAATAAAACTGAAATAAAAAGGAGTAGAAAACAAACCCACAAAATTACTAAACCTTTACCTTGAAGAATATTAAAGCTGCAGTCCGTAACGTTTGGCGCTCTAGCGGTTAATAAACAGAACTGCGTGCGTCTTTGAACATTGAAGCTACTTCTCTCCGTTTATGCCTATGACGAATCATGCAGGTACTGGGCTACTCCGCAGCGGTTCCACCAGTATAGGTGTACCGTAGTGATTCAGGACAAGCCAAAAACACGGTTTGGAAAATGGATTCATGATGTACTCTCTTATTATGTTAATTTTGTACGTTTTGAACACATAAAAATTGCGGACTGTAGCTTTAAATACAAAAACAAAAATCAATACTAAATCAAAAATGAAACTAAAAATAAAACCTATAGCATTTAGGTTTTAAAAAAAATAAAACCTATAGCATTTGTCCAGAGATGCTAAATAACACTGGTCTTTTGGTGTCTGTTTCAGGTGTCTTTGTTTGCTGAATTATTCAATGAGATGCTTCAACGAGACTTCGGCTACAGGATCTACAAAGCAATGGCTTCTCTTTCCAGCAAGGATGAGAGGAAAGATAAAAGAGAGAAAGCTAAAAAAGAGGCAGAAAGGAGGAACGTAAAGAAGAAGGAAGAAGAAAATGGAGAGCCGGCCACAAAGAGAATGAGAGAGGAGGATGAGAAGAGGAAGGTGGGGGAAATAGAGTTTCTACGACAATGAAAAACCTGGAAATATCAGGACTAGTGCTGTCAATCGGTTAAAATAAATTAACGAATTAATCACCCATTTTTTTCTGAAATTAATTCCACCTCACTTTAAAATTTTTATCATCATTTTTTCATTGCAATTTCACATTCAATCCTCAATGTAGAAACAGTATAAAGACAGTATATTTTTTATATTTGTATAATAATTTGTGCATCACTTTTATGACTGAAGGTCAGTATCACGGATTCCAATACTACTGATGTCTCTAGGAAATTGTTTTTTTACCCTAATATTTACTCGTTGACTATAGCCATTCAACATTACAGTATAATTGAGAGCTATCAAAATTAAATAAATTAAAATTAAATTAAATTAAATTAAATATACTGTAGATGAATCCTTAAAGCTACAAAAGTTATTGATTTCCTCTTTTTTTTCTTTTGTTCTTTGATTAACAGACATCACAGGAGCTGGGTTATTAGGTTTTTGACTGTTATTACTTTAAGAGCCGCCGCTGCTGAACGTGACGCGGATCTGACATGCATCGTATTTTCTCATTAACTCTTTACATTTTCTGACCTACTTCAGGTCTGAAAATCTCAATAATGAGCTGACGAGTTGAATCGGGTGTGTTAGATGAGGGAGACAGTTTGGAAAACTACTGCATTTCAAAGACATGTTCTTAAATGACTTACATATTTTTGTCAGGAAAACTGAGACAGAATCAGCAGTTGTGAGGGGGGTGGCCAACCCTAGCCCTGCCCCTGCATTAACTGCGTTAAATATTTTAACGCGTTAAACTGAAAAAATGAATCGCCGGCATTAACACGCTAATTTTGACAGCACTAGTCAGGACATTTTAAAACCTGTGTCCTGGAAGAGTCATGGAAATTATTAAAACTTAAAAAGTCATGGACATTTCCATATCAAATATTGATCAGTGATTGTAGCTACACCTGGTTTAAAACTTGTTTTTTTTTTTTTTTCATGAAAATGTTTATTTGGCATCATGAACAACTGGAAAAAATCACACTGATTGGTCAGAAAGTGCGGGGACCGTGTTTGGATTGATTCTTTGTTTTATGTCTGCATTAAAAGGATTGTGATTTGTATCGGCCAACATATCGGTTATCGGCTTTCAAAAATAAAGAATAATCGGTTATCGGTATCGGCCAAAATTTTCATATCGGTGCATCCCTAGTTTAGTTGTTACTTGGGAAGGTTTAAGGAGGCTTTAAGTACCATGAATTTACATTTAGTCATGTAGCAGACGCTTTTATCAAAAGGGACTTACAAATGAGGACAATAGAAGCAGTCAAAATCAACAAAAGAGCAATGATGTGCAAGTGCTATAACAAGTCTCAGTTAGCTTAACGCAGTACATGTAGCAAGGGTTTTTTAATTATATAATAAATAAAAAGAGCACAAATAGAATAGAAAAAGAATAGAGCAAGCTAGTGTTAGAGGCCTTTTTTTGCTTTTGTTAATTGTATTATAAATAAAAAGAAAAGAAATAGATGGAATGCAAAACGAATAGAGAAGCTAGTGTTAGTTTTTTTTTTTTTTAGAAAAAAAATTTACTCATTATGATGCTAATATACAGGTGCATCTCAATAAATTAAAATGTCGTGGAAAATTCATTTATTTCAGTAATTCAACTCAAATTGTGAAACTCGTGTATTAAATAAATTCAATGCACACAGACTGAAGTAGTTTAAGTCTTTGGTTCTTTTAATTGTGATGATTTTGGCTCACATTTAACAAAAACCCACCAATTCACTATCTCAACAAATTAGAATACTTTCTAATTTGTTGAGATAGTGAATTGGTGGGTTTTTGTTAAATGTGAGCCAAAATCATCACAATTAAAAGAACCAAAGACTTAAACTACTTCAGTCTGTGTGCATTGAATTTATTTAATACACGAGTTTCACAATTTGAGTTGAATTACTGAAATGAACTTTTCCACGACATTCTAATTTGAGATGCACCTGTATTAGGAAAAAAAAATTTTTTCTCATTGTTTTTTTTAAATTCAGTTTAACTATTATATACTATAATTATAATCATTATAATTATATATTTTAATTTATTATCTGATTTAATGTTAATATTACTTAAAACATTTAAAGTTGTGAATATATACAGTATATATATATTCATATTTAATAATACATTTAAAGTTGTACGAATTTGATAAAATAGCAATTATATTAGTTACTAATAAAATTAATAATAATAATTATGAATGTGTTTATTATTACTGGGGTAATGATGATGATGATATTAATGTTCAAAGTCAGCAACAACTACTACTAATTATTATTATTATTTTGGATGTAACAATTATACTACTTAATAATAATTTTATTTGTTAAAAATAATTTTTGTGATGATGATATTATTTATTATTTATTTGCTATTATTTTAATACTAAAATCTGTAATTATATGTATTATTGTTATTATATATGTATTATTTTCTTTATTAAATTTAAAAAATATATTTAATTGGTCAATAATAATAATAATAAATATGAGAAAATATAAGCAATGATGTTTGTTGCTTGACCTTTTAGTTGCATCTTGCTTGATCAGGACACAATGTGTTAACTGTAATTTCTTATTTGCAAGCTATATAGCATATTTCTAACAGACTAACATATCTTGTTTTTTTTTCAGGTGAAGAAATTGTTAAACAAACCATTGGTTAGAGAGTCTTGCCATTATCGAAAGCTGACGGACAGACCTAATGACGAGCCTAGCCCCACGTTGACCTCTGATGCTCTGAAAGACAACCTTTTAGGTGTGCAAAGAGAGTGATGGCTGGAACTGAGAGGCTTATTCGTAAGACTAGAGTACAGTCCATGACGTTAAAGTGGACTGAATCGCTCTGTGTGCTTGACAGGTAACCAAAGCTTGCTGCCCAGTCTGAAGATCAAATGGGAATCAGAGGACAGCGGCGAGTCGTCTAGCCTAATCGTCTACAAGGGAGCCATGGTGGATGTGGGAAGCATGATGCAGAAGCTGGAGAAGAGTGAGAAAACCCGAGATGAAATCGAGCAGAATCTCATGCAGCAGGACATTAAAATGGGTACCAACCTCATTTGTATTATTTTCATTGTATATTTGAATTCGAATTTCAGTAATTTTGTTGATTCAGCTCACTGTTCTTGACTTAAAGTCAATATCAAAAATGTGTACTTTTACAATTCATCAGCATATATTTTTCTACCCTCAATACAATTAAATTGCCAATCAAACCTTTCTGTTTTGTAGAGGAGGGCTCAAAGCAGATAGCCGAGCTAGAAGCAGCAACCCGCAGCCTTCAGAGGGAGCTGGAGGAGGTGAAGAACAATCTCAGAGAGACCGAGAACAAACTGAGAGCCTCAGACCAGCAGAAAGGCAGCTATGAACAACAGCTCCACGGCACAGTGTCCAGCCTCAACACCATCATGAAGGAGCTACAGGGCGTTTTATCACACGTATGAACCTTTATTTGTTTCATCACTGTGTGACCAGGACTCATGAAACTGTAGAATATGGTTTAAATAATAAGTGTCTTGTTTTTAATGCAGGGTGACCCTTCAGATGACGGTGACCAAAAAACTCACTCTAATGGCTCAGATGAGTGAACGTCCAGCTCATCCACATCTAGTCTCCCTTCAAATATGTAAATAAGCTTAAAACTAACACGATTCTAAAGCAAATTTTATTTGGATCTTTTTGGGGGGTTTCTGTGTACAAAGTTTTAATGACTCTCTTTTCCTCATAATTCTATATTTGAAAATAATTCTTCAGAATCAAATTATTACACTTAAGTTCGAGTTAAAATAATTTGTTTGATTGGAGTAAACGTTTTGGTTGTTAATCCATTTAAGCTTTTTTGGCCTTTTTTTATTTTCAGAAGTTGCTAGTAATTTTAGCTTGTGTTGCTATATCAGCATATTTCATTGTTGAAATAATACATGACTTGTGCCAGTACGTGACTTATTCGCAGAGTTTATTTAGCAATAAAAGTGTTATTTATGTTTAAATCAAATGTTAGAAACAGCAATTAGGATTTTATTAGGAACTATGTGAAGCTGCTTTCTGATATCTTTCATTGTTCCATGACAAACAGTGATCAAAAAACATTTTGTTCTATGTCTCTGGTTTGTTTTGGTCACATCTGAGCATGCATCTAAATTAGCGCATGCATATCAGCTTGATTCCTGAGTAATATTCTCGCAGACTTATTTTTTTTAATTTGATTTGATCTTGATGTTTTGTTCTGTGATCTCTGTGTAATCCTACCAGGGTAGCTTTGTGTGAATGGGGCCATTTCAAACAAAACCAAGGCATTTACCCTGTTAAAGATGCACAGGCTTGATCTGACTGAGGTCATGTCCGTTCAGAGTCCTGCCTGGGTACTTCATATCAGAGTGATTGTAATGTGTGAGTCGGATGCTGTGTGTTTCAGTAGTTTGTTTTGCTGGAATTGTTTGGAAGGCAGTGAAATCTTTTCTCTTTTTTCTTGAAGTTTTTCCTGTTGTTGGCCCACTAAAGATGAGAATGATTACAGTGGGTGGTTTCTGCTGAGTGGAAAAGAGCCAAACCTGATAAAAATTAGCCCAAGGCAGCCAAGTGCATATTATTTTTCTATTCTGGATGTACTCTATGGTTGTCCTGGTAAAAGAAAAGAAATAAAAGTGCGTCATTTTAACATTTCATCCAGTTAAATTTGGAATTTTCCCCAATTGTTTTGAATTTACAGGGGTTTTGGGAATTTTGCAGTGCCATTTTTTTCCCCAGTAGGTGGCAACATTTGTTTGATCCGGAGGGATTATGCATGCACTTTTTATGAGGAAAAACAAGCAATGGGTTTAATAAACAAATATTCCTCTGGTCACAGACTTTCTTGAATTTCTTGTAACAGTGTAAACTGTTTCAATGATTTTAGTTTGAATGCAGGATGATTTTCTCTGAATAGGGTAAATTGGTGTATTTCTATATCAGCACTGTAGTAGCAGTGGTTTTCTAGTGGGCATGACATGAAATGGATCAGCGTTATGCTGACTTACAAGACTGACAATCTGTATTTCTTAAAGGACAGATGTGAAAAGATCTATTGATGTGTAAAAATGTGTGTAAAAAAACAATTTTTCTTGTTGCTGCATTGCCCATGCTAAAAATGTGAAAGTGTTGAGGTTTCGCTGGTTAGTAGTTTGGCTGCATCCAAAATCATATGCTTATCTACTATATAAGAGGCAAATGTGAAAAGTCTCTGAATGAGGTCACAGGAGAGGAGTTTTGACATTGTAGGTAACATAACGGTGACATAAAGATGAATGCAGTATGTCCAGATTAAATACCACCTACATGCATTCTATATAGAACATACTTTATTTTAAACAGTTGCAAAATAATTACTTATTCAAAAGAAGTACATACTTGGAGTATGTGATTTCGGAAGCAGCCTTAGTTTATTCTTTTTTTATAATTATAGACATAAAGCACATGGGCCATTCAGATAGAATGCATTTAAAAACACAAGATGGAGTGTCATGAAAAAAAAACTGGCATTTTGGTCAAGACCTAAGCGCAAACTTAGCAGTGGACTACAACTGAACAGTCTAAGGGCCAGGAGTTGGTGCTGTCATGAATTAATTTTCCTGCAGCTCCAGAGAGATTAGTCCCATGGCATTTACACGTGGCGTTTAGTTAAAAAAATAAAAGAACTCTGTATGCAGAACTTGATGCCCTCAATGATCTATTGAATGGGAATGATAAGATCCAGCAAATCATAACATGTCCATTTAGGTCTAGTGTAAAGGTGTGGTCACATTAGCAACATTTTGGAGAAAATTAGCTGGCAGAAAGCTCCATTGTCTATTGTCAGTCCTGTAGCGATATTTGAAACACTGTTTAAACAGAAGTCACTTTCAAACCAAGTAGCTTTCTGCTGGTCCTTTTGCAAAATCTGCTGGGGGAAATCCCTTGCCCCCTTGCATAAAATTCCAGATTGCAAAGATTCTAATTGAAATGACTGGATTTTGCCCATGAAAATTCACAGAACAACTGTAAATGTAACTGTACATTAATTGAATAGTTAATGGGAACAAATTTAACATTACATCACTTGCTCACCAATTGATTCTCTGCAGTGAATGGGTGCCGTCAGAATGAGTCCAAACAACAACATCACAATAATCTATAAAAACATTTCCTTCTGTGAAAAAGTCCATACCCTGTTGTGCTCTCACATCAAAATCCACCAACTTATTTGTTTGGTCTGTTTTTGCTTGTTAACAGTGCTTGGTCTGTGCATATTTCTCTCATGTTTCAGACAAGACTTTGTCACTGGAGAAAGCAATATTATGGATAGAGAGTATTTTAGCCAGAAGCAATGGTTTGAGGTTCAAAACATTTTAACAGACCATCTGTTTGGACTCTCATTCTGATGGCACCCATTCACTGCAGAGGATCCATTGGTGAGCAAGTGATGTAATGCTAAATTTCTCCAAATCTGTTCCAAGTGAAGAAACAAACTCATCTTGAGGATGAGTACATTTTCGGCCCATTTTTTGGGGGTGAATTTAATTTATGACTAAATAAAATGTTAGTGAATTACTCTACAGAGGGCCTGTCTACCAACACTTTAACAACAAACATGATCTTAAACCTCACACTCCATGACATGCGATTTCAAAAACCATTAGAACATGAGCACCAGTCACACAGGTTTATGGTCCATCTCTTATGATCTCCACATTGCACTGCAACACTGAAAAGACACTGTATCTGGCCCAGTGTCACTCGGCAGGCCAGCTGCAGCAGTAGGAGCAGGCGGTGTTGTGAAATCAGAGCCGGTGCAGGTAAACCCACTCCTTCCCTGAGACAGAGGGCCTTTGTGCCCCCACCTTCCCCCCTGCAGTCTGAGTAACACACACACTAGAGAGCCATGGGACAATCAGCTTCTCTTTCCTTCAGAGGGCTGGGCAACACTCTCACACCGGACCCACGAACAATCGGCTTATTTGAATTCAAGCTGTGGTGCTTTTTCTTTTCTTTTCTTTTCTGGGTGGAGAGTTTGGTTGCGTCTGTTATAGCTGCATTTGAGGAGAGATTATGTTACGACTCTCCCCTCATCTAACAATCACCTCTCTAAACAGAGAGGTCTTCTCATTTTCCTCATTTCAGGACATAACAGTGACTTTCTTAGCAAATGTTGTCCTGTGTATTTAAATGATCAGGGAAGGTGTTGATTGTTCGATGTTACACCATTTCTCCTTTTGTTTCTGGAAGGCTCCTGTTGTCTGCCATTCCTGGGTGGCATATAGAGGCTAATGTTTCCCCTTTGTCTGAGGTCAGACCCATTATCCCCTCATCTCTGTCTGAGCTGTGTGTCTGTGCTGACATTCGCCTTCCCCTCCCCCTGTTTTCACACATAGCTTTGTTTCAGAAGACCCCACACTTTGTAGGAGCCCCTCTGCTCCTCCTCCTCCTCCTCCTCACACTATCACTCTTTTCATTGCTCCTGCTGCTCAAAGTCTCCCCGAGTCACTTGTGCTAAGGTGTAATTATCGTGACAATGGAATGTGGTCTCTGGAGACTTTGTGATCGCTTTTCATAACATGTCGTGCTTCTCTGTTTTTGTTAGTATTTGCTTGACTTGAAATAGAATTGACTTTGTGGCCTTAGAAATTCCAAAAGAGGACGTCTATGAATAGTGTTTGCAGACATGTACAATACTGTTCAAAAGTTTAGGGTCAGTAAGAAATTTGTACTTTTATTCAGCACGGAGGCATTTACTTGATCAAAGTGACCCTAAAGACTTAAATGATTTCTATTTCAAATAAATGTTGTTCTTTTTTTTTCTTCTTTTTTTTTTTTTTTTTACTGTTTTTACATTTTTTTCTCAGCCTTAAAAACAACTCATCAAATAATTTTTCAAAAACATTTTAAAAATCTTACTGTCAGGGAGTCTCTGTCACCACCAGTCACCAGCTCTGGACTCCATACCCCAGAATCCTCCCCGGCTCACACCTGTTCACAG